GTTTTGTCATCATCAGGTACCTGCCATTATTAGTCTCAAAGTGGGTTCCTCGTCATCGAATTTGACTTCTTACTAAATGATCTAGAATATTGATCTGAGTTAATACATAGTTAATCTGAAACAATTCGAATGACACTTAATACACGTTTGATACGTTTTGATATATTAATTTCAATGAGGCCTTAACTATGGTTAAAAGTTATTAAAATATAATATTGTTTAGTAGATTTCAACAAATGTAATTTATAATTTGTGATGTTTTAATTTTGTTATAATTTAATGCTATTATTGGAGATTTATTTTAAGAAAGAACAATTATACATATAATAATGAATTTATAAGTAAAAAGGTATAAAAATTATACATTTTCTTAAAGTATTTTTTAAAAAAGTACAACGCTTTTTTGGAAATACATTTGTTTTACTATAGAATTATATTTTTATATTATATCTATATAAATACAATAGTATTGTCTGTTGTTTGTCCATGCAACTACTTCACAGGATGTGGATGGATCTTCGCCAAAATTGGTATGGATGTTCATTAGGTCTATGCGGGGTACATACAAATTTTCTGTTTTGCATTTTGCGTTGTGCCGATTTTATGGGCGTTTTTACCACTACTTCGCCAACTTATGAACGGATCTTCACCAAATTTTGTATGGTGGTTCATTAGTCTATGGGGAAATACATACAAATTTGCAGTTTTGCATTTTGCGGTTTATATGGACTTTTTTAGCGTATTTTACTACTACTTCGCTCCCTGTTTATGGATCTTCACCAAATTTGGCATGAAGGTTTGTTGGGTCCATGCGGAGGTGCAAGCAAACTTGCGGTTTCAAATTTTGTTTTTTGCAGTCTTTATGGGCGTTTTTGCGTTTTTTTACAATTACATATATGGGAAATAGCTTTTCATGTCCTAAGATAACTTTTCATTAATCATGAATTTACTTTACTTTCGTCCAAGGGACGGGTACTCCAGCTAGTAGTAAATAAACTACGACTTCCGCTCATATTAAATGATTCAATTAATTTAGCCAACGTTTGATATTTTGACAATGGTAACCTTTTTTATATTAGTATAATAATGTTCTTTTTTAAAATGCATAACTGAATACGATTGTGAGTATGTTTACGTAATTATGAGTTCTTTTATTTTTTAGGAATTACTTTTAGAATAATATTTATATATTGAGATCGTCCTTTGTTTATTTGAATTATTTCAAATTCGATGACGAGGAACCCACTTTGAGACTAATAATGGCTGTAGACGGCTTGAATGGCTTCATTACCCATTCAAGCCGTCTCCAGCCATTATTTGAATTATTTGTTTTAAATGAATTAATATTACCTTTAAATCATAGTAATGTACTTACCTAGAGCGAAACTAAAAAATCAACCTGGAAATGAGTATGGTTAAATTAAATGTAATTTTTTATATGTTTTTACTTATGAAGCTTAGAATACATTGTTTCATCAGTTGTATACGCTCCAAGTTAAAGTAAACATTTTTCATCAGTGCATATTTCTTCTTGTTCCATGTTTTATACTAAACTGCGGATTGTCTCTTAATCTTTAATGTTGAATGCTATATATATGTGACATGTTAGTAAAACAAAGTGATTAATACTTTGGTACCATTAGTCACTAGTACGATTTATATTATGAAGCCCAAATGTATATTTTACTTTGATATAATTTCACTTTCTTTTTACTTTCATTACGCCATTGCTCTTTCCTTTCTCGTGTAAATATAACCACTAGTACGGATTCCCGTATAATTAAAATCTTCGTGAAAGTCTTTCGAATTCCGAAAGTGCCTAAGTCTTGTATTTAAACTTCAGAAGATTAATGATAAAGATAGCACTTTCAGATCTGTTTAACTCAAAAATATTTAAGAACGGAATGTAATCAAAATATACTGGACTTTTCTTAAAGTAACTACTCTTTGGTCCTCAGTTATTGTCTGGAAAGATTTGTGAACAATATTAGAAGTTGTTATTCGTCTATCGATTCGGGGACTTGCATATATTGTTCTAGCTTTGAATCTCAATATTTCAATGATGAAATTATTATACAACTGGTTTCATTCTTTGATTCCGAATAGTTGTGCAAGGTTACTCAAGAACTATCTGTTTTAACTATCCCTAATTTTAAACTGATAAACTAGAGGGAAGGCAACAAGTCAACAGCACCCAACGCCAGCTCTTGGGCTACTCTTGTCGAACGCAATAGTGAGATTTAGAAAGCTCCCAAGCTCCAAAATCGTAATCTTTCTAACTTTATTGTATTCTCGATGTTATAACTATATATTCAAAAGGCTGTTTTAGTTTTCGGCCTATCCCATAAATTCTATCACCCATATTAATTGTTTATCTACAAATGAACTTAACAAGAAAGTATATTCTTCTATTACAACAACCAATCTCTTGACTTTTCAAATCTTAAGGATTATTTATGTTATTTTAAGATAGGTTCTTGTGTTAATGAGGATATAGTTACCATCAAATAACAATTTGTATGTAATATATTGTTCCACTAAGTAGGAATAATAAAAAGTGCTTATATACGCTTAAGAAGACAGTCCTGTAAATACGATTTTTTCTTTAAATTTTGTTTCCAACTTCTCACAGTGAAACCAGTACCACCATCGCCTTACATAGTATTAGGAGAAGTACTAGGCTGAGTGTTTGCTCGCTTATCAACCACCTGTCAACGTGCATAGTATGAGCATCATTGGCAGAGAAAGTCACGATAATGTCGTGCTACGATAATAAAAATTTTTACGATAGACATGATAGTTTGTGAAAAATATCCTATACTTATCTTCTTATTTAGATTAGCAATGATAATTAATTCGCATGCGTTTGTATTTTATTAATAGCCCGCTAGCTATGAATCATCCTTAAGTGTGTGTATGTAATTTATTGTATTTGTACTGGATCAGTGTTTGATTCGCAATTCCGAATTATCTAGACGTTAATACCCCGAATGCTATGATTTTATGGAATATTACGTCATTTTTATCAGGATTGAATCGTCACCATGGTACATATAAACAGCAACATATGTTAGCAAGCAAAAATATTAGTTTCAAATTAAACTAAAGACCTGCTTAGATTAAAGAAAAGGCCTGGATTCCCTTATAGAGACAACACATAGATGAAACTCTTCAAGAGCCCTATGTCGTTTAACTTGTTTAGCGCTTGCAAAATAGAGCATGCGCAGTGGATGTTCTGGGATTGGGTAAGTTTGATGCGTGGCTTTGTGAGACGCATGTAGTAGAACGTTTGGTTCAACAGTTCTTGAAGCAGCCTTGTCAGTACTACCGAGAGTCGGCCCTAGTCAATTTCCAAGTACACGGAAAACAATTCAAAGACATATTAAGAAAACCGAAGATACAACAGACAAGTAAGTACATAACTTCGTAGTTTGTTTTTCCTGTGAATCAACTGTCATTTAGTGGACATAGTGATTTGAAAACTCTCAATACGTTACAATGTTCACAATGAATGGACATATATGCCTCAGTAAGTGTCGTTTCCTTGGAAACTTGAACTATTTCGCTGTCGTATGTCTATTTCAAACTTTATCTGCTTGCTTATTTCCAAGTTCGAACATAATTTCGAAATAAAAGGCATTGCTTGCATCAAATAACAGAAAATATTGGTTTCTGATAATAACAAAATGCCCCCCAATGGCACAGCGGCATGTCTGCGGACTTACAAAGCTAGAAACCGGGTGGGCGGAGCACAGACAGCCCTTTGTGCAGCTTCATTCTTAAACTACAAACAAACTAATAATAACAAAGTAATAGGCACGCGAATTAAACACGAAAACAGTAACATTTTATTAACATTAAAGTATGCATCAATAGTTTGACATATCCAGGAATACAGATGACATATCTATCCATAAGCACAAAGTTTGCATACGCATAAAATATCTGGATTTATTATCCCATATTTTGATGTGAAATATTTAAATAGGAATCTTCAAGTGAATAAGATTTCTTAATAGCTTAGATTCCAGGAAAAAAATCATGATACTCATATGATATTTCAAGTGTCACTTACAACAATTTGGTAATAAGAAGAAACATACAATACAACCACGATAATGTGGTTGAAATGTCATTTACTCACCACAGTTTGGTTGAAAGAAGAAATACGCACAATAAAACCTTGATATGGTGTTTGAAATGTCATTTACTCATCACAATTTGGAGGTAAGAAAAACACAATAAAACCATGATACGTCTATTGTGTAAGACAATACACATAGCAAAACTATGATATGTCAAAAATACTATAGTCTGCCAAACTAATGTATACAGACTTTTTGTAAGAATATTCGCATAGAGAACTTGTTAACCGATGTAGCCAAAGAACACATCATTTGAAGGAAGAGAGACTTAAATGTTATCCATGGATTTCGAAACTCAAATCAATCCGGAGAAAATTTAAGGACTTATTTATTAAAGAGAGCCCTTCTTACAGAGAATCAATTACGGTGAAGCTTGGTATGTATCATTATGTCATTAACAAGATAACAAGCACGGATTAAAGTGCATTAAGTCTCACAGGCCAAACATTTGCGGGTTTCCAGCCACATCATGAATCAACTATTGTTCCATAAGAAAGATAACCAAACAAAACCTGTAACTACATCTATCTTTTCAAACATATACTTGCAAATCATGTTATGTTGTTCCAATTGACTTATGTACCTTTAGTCCTATACTCTAATTAAATGTTGTCTTAGAAGCTGTGAAAAGCTAGTCAAGACTGACCTCGCCCAATTTCGTACACGTTTGTTACAATAAAAATTGCAGTGTCGAGGAATAAGTGACGAATCAGGTCATCAGAAATAGCACGTTTACAAATGGAGGACGTGCTTCAAGGAGTAACATTATACTTGGCACATTGTTCATGTAAACTGCCTTTAATCTGCCCATATTAATAAATTTTAGTGGTGTTTTCAATTCTATTCATTTTGTTCATATCAGACTTTGTATTTCAAATCTACACAAAGCTTACAAATAGACATATTTTTTTTATTCAAATATAAAAAACGTTTTGCAGTAAGATAAGTGTGTTTAAATATACCGTAGGTTCAGAAATAGGCTTGCTGATATATTTAGCTCTGCTAGAGCTTTGGCTTAAGGCTAAGAGGCGTATTTAGATCTAATAAAAGTTCAACAAAAAGTTTAGTGTGTTAAAATCTACTTGTAATGCATACGTCTGCGCATTCAAAACTACCAACGATTCAGAAGTTGGGTTACTTGTGTTAGACTGCCCAAGGTTTAGCAGTAGGTTAACTGGTATATTGAAATATATCAGAAGATCATGAATAGGTTTAAAGTGTTTGAATCTACCGAAGGTTTTGTAGTTATCTCATGAGTATATTCAAAACTGCCCAAGATTTCGCAACAGTGGACTTTCCATTGTATTCAGGTCTCTCTCTGAGCTTTAGCATAAATTCATTGGTGGTTTCAAATCTACCAAATGCTCAGTAGAGGCACAGTATGTCCGAATCTACCCAAAGTTCAGCAGTAGGCTTACTAGTGAATTCAATTTTATTAAAAGCTCATATCTATCCAAGGTTCCGTAGTAGGCTTACTGGTGTATTCAAACCTAAAAACGTTTAACAGTGGTATAGTATGTTCAAATGTATCTAAGATTCAGCAGCTGTGTTACGGGTATATTTAAATCTCTACAAGACTCAACGATAGGGTTACTAGTGTATTCAACTATTTGCAGGAAAAAGCAGTAGACTTGACAATTTGCATCTACACTTCAAAAGGAGATCAACTCTTCCAATATGTATTATTCTAGGATGAGCAGCAGGCATTGTAATTTATTCAGATTTATTTAGGAGTTAAATTGGGACGAAGGCCGGGAATGAAGTTCTTTCTTTTGAGAATTGAAGCCGTTAGCGTTCCTGGTTTTCTGATTGGTATGTCAAAGTGGATCACAAAAGGAAGTTCCACCTTTTTCAAAATCCTACTTTAATCACTGGTTTTATTTATATTCAATTTTATCAATACTTTAGTAACAGTTGTTATGGAATGTTTATTTCCCTTTACAATTCTGCACTGATAATGCTCTCCAGTGACTCAATGGTATATCTGTGAACTTAAAATGATACAAGTTGGGTTTCTAAACCCGTGATGAGCATAGCACAGATAGCTAATTGTGTGGATTTGAGAATAATATAAATATAAATCAACAAAAGCCTGGGAAATATTAGTACTTTCAAGTTTCCTCAGATTTATTAGTGTTGGAGCTGACTTACTCTAAACCCCAAACAATAATAATATGTTGATCATCTTCACCTTCAAATCAAAACGAGTAAGTCATCCGTCCTTTTATTGCTTTATATACCATGAAAAGTTGAAAGTGAAATTCATAACTGGCATACAGAAAAATAGTTTCATCAATTCGTTAAGTTGGTTGCCTAAATACTACGCTCAAAAACATAACTGATAAATGTTAGACAAATTTAAGATTTGTGTAAAGAAGTTTTGGGACAACGAATCATAAAAAGGCTTGTACGATAATTATATTAAGGTAACACGTGTTGATTGATGTAAAACAGTAATAGACAAATCCTCAACCCGAGTTGTTGTTTTTTCTTCTTCTAAGCTTTTCAGTACTATACGTGTTCGTATTACCCATACAGACTTACATTATTTCATTATTTTTCTATGTACGCTTGACGTTTTATGATTACGTTTAGCGCTTTATTCGTAGCGGAACGTACTGGAGAACCGTTCCAGCACTTATTTTTGGTGGTTGGAACGCCGCTCCAACACTTTTCGGAGCCCTTTTAGCAATAAATACATACAAACTTTTCTTTAACTGCAAAAATTTTATTCGAAATTGATCATATAAAAAATCTAAAGCCATTTGCTTCAATTCCATAAAGGATTAATGGTTTTGTAAATCCAACTGTATTGTATTTATCTTCTTTGCTGTCAAATCCCCTTAAACAGAAATAATGCACGCAGGGGCTGCACAAGAATCTTTCAATAACCTGGATATTCTTTGCTAAACGAAGTAAAAACAAACTTCTTTAAAACAAAGCTACATTGGACTATCTGCTGTGACTACCGCGTGGAATTAAAATCTGGAGTTTAGAGTTGTAAGTCTATAAAAGTACCGCTTAGCCAGCTCGGTAGAAGAGAAAAAGCAAACTTCTGAAATATTACTATGTATGTCAGTGGCGTTTTGAGTACACTGTATAAGGTGCAAAATGAAGCTACATTGGACTATCTGCTGTGACTACCGCGTGGAATTAAAATCTGGAGTTTAGAGTTGTAAGTCTATAAAAGTACCGCTTAGCCAGCTCGGTAGAAGAGAAAAAGCAAACTTTTGAAATATTACTATGTATGTCAGTGGCGTTTTGAGTACACTGTGTAAGGTGCAAAATGAATTTAGATAACACTGACTTAAAAATAATGGAAACGTATATTGTTTTTCTAATTTATAGAATAACAATAAAGGCTGTCTCGACTAAAACACTATCTCTTACACTTTTACTGGACAGCTCTATCAGTTTGTCAGCCTTCCACAGGAAATATCAAAACTATACAATTAAAACTAATTATTTCAGCATATAGGATGGAATGAAACATTAGGTATTTCTGTCGATTTACTATGTGTGTGCAACGTTTTCCACAGACATGATTCAATTTCCATTTCTATTTACATAAACACCGGATGAGGAAGGAGCAAATATATATATACTAAATAAACATACCTACTCTTTTAAATGAACTAACATACTCTATTAGTGAAGCAAACGGCAAATCCATATTGTTTATACATCTTTCTTTACTTTTTCACTCTGTTACATCTGAAATGCATTGAGTTATTACTATTTACGCCCTACAGCAATAGTTTTGCAATAGTAGCGGTTGATAAAATATTGGAAAATGTCTTCCAAATAGAAACCATAGTTTTTAAATGTCACTAGTTAAAAAATAGTTCATATTTTATCAATTTGTTGTCTTAATTTTGGTTTCCAGTTTCTTCTTAGTTTCCGTTAACTAAAGAAACACTGGTAGAACGTTATTTTTACGTACTTTTTACCTGTTGTTGGAAGAATATAGTACTTTCCGGCACTTCTTTTTCCTAGACTTGAGAGACTCTAAAACTTTATATTTTTTGTGATATAATGGTTCAAATATATATATATATATTTGATAGGAAACTGACTAGACAGTGGCCATGAAAACGAGCTTAGAATACAGGTGTTAATACAGGAATATTGAAGCAATGTTCTTGTGAATTATTTCATAGCAATATCTATAAGGCTACTGAGCCACCTATCGCTTTTTCAGTATATTTACCGTTTGCTAGGAGTTGATATGCATTTATTTATTTTTCAAAATCTTCTTTCAATCC